GTACTCCAGAGTGTTGTTCAGCATGGGGGTGAGTAGAAAATGAAGGCTAATCATGTTTTGTCTGTACTATTCCTTTAAGATTGAGTTATTCTTTGAGACATGAGACAACAGTAAAAGTTTTTGACATGTGAACCGGCACAGAGCTCATCTGCTTGACTCTTTCCATCCTACACAGAGACAGCACAAAGCTGTTTACTACATTTTACTGTTACCTTCTCTAACGTAGAAAGTATTCATCAATCAGTGCTTCTATGTTGCTTTTGTGTTTCTTTTTCTATCTTCTAGCCTCAGCAGAAGGCCGCTCAAGCTGATTTTGGTTCTGCTGGAGGTTTCTTCCTGTTAAAATGGGCTTTTCCTCTCCACTGTCACTGCATGCATGCTTAGGGTGAGGGATTGCTGTAGATTTAGCGAGAATTTCTACTGCCACTACATGCTCATCAAGGAGGAATAAACCTTGCAAAGTCCCTAGACTTGATGCAATGGATTTGTTTCCTTAGATAGAAAACATTTATTTAATCTGACAGGATGATCTGATTAAATTGTTTTTCACAATTGCCTTGTGATTACATCTGTTGTGAATCGGTAAAATCTAAATTAACTGAATGGAATGTTAGTCAGTCTGGCAAACTGCCCATTGACTGTAGCCGGGTCTTGCCAGACTAATCACAGCGTGGGAGACAGGACGTTATGATGAGAGAATTACCCATAATGCAGCAGCACTTTTCTGAGCTAATTTTTCTTAGATTTCTTTTGCATGGTGACTTGGAAGAATGTAAAAAAGGGAGGGCATTGCTTGGAGGTTTTTCTTAGTTATCTGATTGATTTTGACCTGATGACACTGACCCTGTTAGACCAACCTTTGAAACCGAGCTCCACCAGCTCCTTACTCTCTCTGATATGCCACATTTGCATCGTATTAGCCTGGCTGATCAGGCTGTAAGCTATAAACTGTATTGAATTAAATTTCTGACTGATTTTTGTTTCACATATAACGAAAAAAAAATCTCTTTGATGCTGTATATGTAAACATGTGTTTTGCTTTCTCCATGACAGAAGCTGCTTCAGTTGCAGAACTTCAACACCCTGATGGCGGTGGTGGGCGGCCTCAGCAACAGCTCCATCTCCCGTCTTAAAGAAACTCAGAGTCACATCAGTGCAGAGACCAACAAGGTGCCGTTGCTACTGTTGCCCTCTAAATCATGCTTTCTATTTTTGTTTTTTTAGTTTCTTTTATATTTTGTTAGAAATCCAAATCCAGGGTTTGCAGGATGTCAGTGTGCATAGCTAAACTTTAATATTGGATCTTGATTCAGCAGCCCACCTCTCTTCTGTGAGAGCTGCAGCGCTGCCTGTCTTTGCCCACTACTCCTACACACTGTCTTTTTAGAAGTATGAATTTTAGCCACATGACTTGAGAGTTAATCATAACAGTTGGGTGGATGTAAACTATCTCTGCCGTTATGTAAGTCCATCTGGAGGAAAGTTTTACTCAACATTTGATCAACATTTGGGATTCTTAAAAAAACTGTTGCCGCAGCAACAAGCTATCTATAGTTTTAAAACCCCTCTGGTCAACTCTTTCGTTCCCTCCCATCTGCTCACCTGCAGGTTTTTAACAGCCTCATTGAACTGGTGACGTCATGTGGAAATTACAGCCAGTACCGGAAGCGCTTCTCTGAGTGCTCGGGCTTCCGATTCCCCATCCTCGGCGTGCACCTGAAAGACCTGATAGCCGTGCACGTGGCGCTGCCGGACTGGGTCGACAAGGAGAAGACACGGGTGAACCTGGCCAAAACCCAGCAGCTCTATGCCATCCTTCAAGAGCTGGCACTGATCCAGACCACGCCGCCAAGCATCGACTCCAACACTGACCTGCTCAACCTGCTCACTGTGAGTGAAGGGGGGATAGTTAAACTACTCTAACTTATTGAAGATGAACATAACAGAACTAGCCAACAATTACTTTAAATTTAAAGGCTTTAGATAAGCAGTCAGACTAGATCAAATGGAAAAAAAGTTGAGAATAATCACAAGCGCCAAAGTGACAGGCATCCACTTTGGGACACAGACTTTCCCTCATGCTGGGAGCTGACTGGATATGGTCAGGCACTCTGTTCTAGCCAGCTGGGACAAATCTGTGCAGTTAATAAAAACAGCCAGAACACCAACTTTTAGCAATAATTCATTTCAATGGGAGGATCAGAACAACCAAAGAACATGATGCCAAAGGTTGCAGAGGAATGATAACATAGCAAGGTGAAGGCTGCTAAGTGGAAAGGGGAAGCAAGAAACCCTGCAGCCAAGGAGCAGAGACTAGAGCAAGAAGTAGCAAAAACAAGCTTAAAAAAAACACTGAAATGTTTGGACTGATCAGTTCAACATCTAATGATGTGTTAAGATAAATATCATTACATAAGAGAGAAAGCAAAAATAGAAAAAAAAAAAGAGTTAAACAACTGGTTCCCAGCAGAAAATAAGGTAAAGAGTGCCCTTAAAAATGTTTGCCTCCTTACATGTTTCTTCTGTTTTTAAAGGATGAACAGCCACTAAAAGCTAGTGTCATAGGATTTTAATCAGATTTAATATGGACCTTCAACATTAGGATTTTGCTTTCTGTAGCTCTTTAGAAGTGAACCTACCGGGTCATAACCCAAGGCCATTTGCTCTAAAGCTTCCTTAGATTATCAAACCATCAACACTGTAATTAACTTTTGGCTTGTTTTTTTTGCAAAATGTTTACACTAAGGCTCCCATATAGATGGCTAAATGATAGTTTACAAATATTATATTAATTCATCTGTTAATATTTTGTAAATAATTTGTGAAGTGTTTGTTTGGCATTCAGTATGTTATGGATAGAAATTAGTAACTTAGTTTGCAATGTTTTGAATAAAACAGATGATGTATATAGGTAAAAAGCTTAGGTAAAGTTTAGTAGCGTTGGGACTTAAACTCATTCATTTTTATTAATTAATTATGTGGATTTTAATGTTTTAAAAATGTATGCAGTTAACTGTATTTTTTGTACACTGTAAAGTCATGTGTTGGAAACTATTCATTTTTTCTCACATCAAAAGTCTTGGTCCACTGGGGGTACTCAAGCTTTGAAATCATCTCAGTGCAACGGAAGTTATGTTGTAACTATGGCTCTGTGAATTCCTGCTTAGACACAAACGGTCATATAAACTTCTCAGCCAGGATCCCACGAGACAAGGAACCAGGGGCTGATTAAGGA